GGCCACTGCACTTCAGTCTGGGCGACAGAGTGAGACTCCAACTCAAAAAAAAAAAAGAAGAAGGCTGGGAGGAAATGGAGCCACCTAACACTGGAATGGAGTAAGGAATCCTGTTTAGAAAGTGCGATGACGTCCCAGGAAAGAAGGGCATCGGGGTGCTCCAGACAAACTATGAAAAGGGCACAGCTGGTCTTGGGGTCTACCTTCCCTTTCCTTGATCTACCTATCCTGTCTTCCTCTTCTCTGCTGCCCCGGGCCTTGACTCCTCTAGACAGCGGAATATGAGCAAATTCACTCAGGGTCGGGTACCTTTGATGTCAGGCTTGAGAGCACTCGGTGGCTCAGCCTGTAATCCCGCGCCTTTGGGAGGCTGAGGTGAGTGGATTGCCTGAGATTGCGGGTTTGAGACCCGCCTGGGCAACTTGGCGAGACCTCATCTCTACAATAATCAACAAATAGCTGGGTGTGGTAGTGCATGCCTGTAGTTCCAGCTACTCGGAAGGCTGAGGCAGAAGGGTCGCTGGAGCCCAGCAGGTCGAGGCTGCGGTGGCTGGGAGCGGCCACTGCACTCCAGTCTGGGCGACAGAGTGAGACTCCAACTCAAAAAAAACCAAAAAACAAGAAACAACAACGATAAACGAGCACACAATGTAGCAGGGATTCTGCATACCAGGGAGAAGAGAACCCTTTCCGGTTCAAGGGCTGACGGTTCAGCCTTTCAAGTCACAGCCCCCCGGCCTCCCCTCTATCCTATCAGTCTCGCCTGCAGACTCGGGGGCCAGGGGAGCAGATGTTGTACTGGGAGTTGGGGGACCCTTCCGGCTACTTCAGGGTTCATTTAATTGGGTTGATAACTTTGCTTCCTTTCAGTTGCTTCTGTCACCAGGGCGAAGAGAAGAGAAGGGCCAGAGACATCATCAGGTTTGCCATTTTAATCGTTTCTGTCTCCCCAGGCGTCCGGGTGACCCCCCAAACAGCATGTGTCCAGCCCCAGACCTGCCGCCTGGGAATCAGGATTCCTTCTTCCCCGAGGCACTGAGCGAGCACCTGCAGGACCCCCCAGCCTCCCCGCAGGCTTTGCCTCCAGAACCTCCCCGTCTGGTTGACCCTGCCCCACCCCCGGCATGCTCCCCCCACCTGTTGCCACATCAGAGTGTATTTTTGTAATTCCTCCGGCTAACATTTCAGCAACCCCTGTCTCTGCCACTCGCCCACCTCCTCCTCTGAGGGCCGGCGACCAGAATACCAAGCCTGGGGTTTTGACTGGTCACTGCCATCCCTTGTTTGTAAAAGAGCTGTTCTTTTTGACTGATTGTTTTGAACAACGATTTCTCCATTAAACTTCTACTGAGCAAACGGTTCATCAGTGGGTCTGCTGCTTTCAAGCGAAGCGACTGAGAAGTATGGACTCTGCAAACACACCACTAGGGCTGCTTGCCCGCCTCCTGGGAGGCCGAGACAAGAGGCCTGTGGCTCTGCTGTGTAGAAAGTAGGAAGGGCAAGCCGGGCTCCGTGGCTCAGCCTGTCATCCCAGCGCTTTGGGAGGCCGATGTGAGTGGATCGCCTGAGCCCGCGGGTTTGAGACCCGCCTGGGCAACTTGGCGAGACCTCATCTCTACAACAAATCAAAAATTAGCCGGGCGTGGTAGCGCGCGCCTGTAGTTCCAGCTACTCGGACGGCTGAGGCGGAAGGATCGCCGGAGCCCAGCGGGTCGAGGCTGTGGTGGCCGGGAGCGGCCACTGCACTCCATTCTGAGCGACAGAGTGAGACTCCAACCCAAAAAAAAAAAAAATAAAAGTAGGAAGGGTAAGGCACCCTCGGAACTCGCTGTGTCCCCGATCCAAGAGCAGTGGTGAGGGAAATGAATACTCTCAGCTATATGAGAGACTGGCAGGAGAGAGGAGCAGTGGTCCCCAAACCTCTCCTCCTACACCAGGGCCTTGAGGGCCAGTTGCTAGGCCCCTCCCCCAGCTTCTGGCTCAGTAGAAAATCTGCCTTTTTGGTTGGACACACCTGTAATCCCAGTACTTTGGGAGACTGAGGCAGGAGGACTGCTTGAGTCCGGGAGATCGAGACCAGCCTGGACAGCAAGACCCAGCCCGTCCCTAGAAAAAATAAAAAAATTAGCCAGGTGTGGTGGCTCTCCCTGCTCAGGAGCTGAGACAGGAGGATTGCTTGAGCCCAGGAGCTCGAGGCTGCAGTGAGTTATGACCACGCTACTGCACTCAAATCTGGGTAGCATAGCAAGACCCCCTCTGTATTTAAAACAAAAATAAAAAATTAGCCAGGCATGGTGGTATGCACCTATACCCCCAGCTAATCTAGAGGCTGAGGTGGGAAAATCACTTGAGCCCAGGAGTTTGAGGTTGCAGTGAGCTATGATCGCTCTGCTGCACTCTAGCCTGGGCAACATAGCAAGATGCAAGACCCAGAGGTCAGAAGTGGCTGGGGTAGTGAAGGGTGGAGAAAAAAAAAAACCTGTTTAAAACAAAAACAGCCAGGTGCGGTGGCTCATGCCTGTAATCCCAGCACTTTGGGAGGCAGAGGCAGAGGCAAGAGGACTGCCTGAGCCCAGGGGTTCGAGACCAGCCTGGGCAATTTGGCGAGGCCTCATCTCTACAATAAGTCAAAAATGAGCTGGGTATGGTGGCGCACATCTGTAGTTCCAGCTACTTGAAAGACTGAGGCGGAAGGACTGCTGGAGCCCAGCAGGTCGAGGCTGCGGTGGCCAGGAGCGGCCACTGCACTCCAGCCTGGGTGACAGAGTGAGACTCCAACTCAAAAAATAAAAACAAAAAAATAGACCAGGTGTGGTGGCTCAAGCCTGTCATTCCAGCACTTTGGGAGGCTGAGGCAAGTGGATTGCCTGAGTCCACAGATTCAAGACCAGCTCGGGCAACTTGGCCAGACCTCATCTCTACAATAAATAAAAAATTAGCCAGGTGTGGTAGCACACGCCTGTAGTTCCAGCTACTTGGAAGACTGAGATGGAAAGATTGCCACAGCTCAGCAGGTAGATGCTACGGTGGCTGTGAGTGTGTCTTTACCCTCCAGCTTGGGTGATAGAGTGAGACTCCAACTCAAAAAGAAAAAAGAAAGAGAAAGAAATCTGCCTAAATGCCTTTTTAACAAGCTCCAGGTGACACAGCTCCTGCTAGTTTGGGTCTAACAGACTGAGACACAAACAAGGGGCAGAGCTGATGCCACTTTTATCTTCAATTTAACATGCTAAGGTGTGTCACTGCCCAGAGTTCAGCAAACATATGGGATGCCCAAACAGAGGAACTGGAGGAGAGTAAAACACCTACAAAAGTGGATAGGGTACCAGGAAATCAGCAAGAAGTGGTTGGTTGGGCGCTGTTGGGAGCTGGGGAACACTGGTAAGGGCAAGAGGGTTCACATAGCTCTCAGTGGAGCACAGCCATCCTCACACTGTAGGGGGTGGCAACGCAACACTCGCACTCATCCCCTCTCCCCTGCTTTCAAACTCCAGTTTGGTGTCTCCTGTTGGCCAAACCCAGCCGGAAGCTGAAAGGTTAAGGGTTGACCCAATGATGTAGCCACAAAGGTTAGCGGTGGGAGGGGGTCTGAGCTGCAAATGAAGAATGCAGTTAACAGTCTGGGGGGTGGGTCTTTGGCAAACGAAGTAGAGCAGGCTGATTCTATGTGGGCCTCTCTTAGAGAGGTGGGGGAGACAAGGACATGGAGAGGGGAGAGATAGAAGGCTTCTGTTCTGCCCCAGGGCAAGGGAAAAGGCAAAAAGGAGGAAAAAGAAACTGCTTTAAGGGCCGCTGGGCCGAATTGTGCCCCAGGGGGAGTTGCTGCATCTTCCCAGAGCACAGCACCCGGGCTGGCCAGCAATGCTGGGGGTCCCTGGGACCCACCCCCAGGGACGCCCAACAGTCCCCACAGCCCCTGACCACCTCTCAGCCTTCCCTCCTCCTTGGAGGCCAGGGACAGAAGGCCACCCTACTGCAGAAAGGATCCCGCCAGCCCTCCACCTGGCCCACCATCACCACCTTCAGCTCTCTCTAGATATATTTTGAGCATTTGAACACATTTTCACAACAGCTTCCTCAAGCCTGGTTTGTTCGACTTGGAAGGCAGCTGTGCTAACCACTATACCACCGATACTTCCGCTGATTTGACTTGGTCTTCTCAGAACCTCGTTTACTGCACTATGTGTTTTTGGTTGTTTGTTTGTTTGGGGTTTTTTTGTTTTGTTTTTTGAGTTGGAGTCTCTGTCACCCAGACTGAAGTGCAGTGGCCACTCCTGGCCACCGCAGCCTCGACCTGCTGGGCTCTGGCGATCCTTCCGCCTCAGCCTTCCAAGTAGCTGGAACTTCAGGTGCGCGCTACCACGCCTGGCTAATTTTTTGATTTATTGTAGAGATGAGGTCTCGCCAAGTTGCCCAGGTGGGCCTCGAACCCGCGGGCTCAGGCAATCCACTCACCTCAGCCTCCCAAAGGCGCGGGATTACAGGCTGAGCCACCCAGCCCGGCTCGTGATTTTGTTTTTGAAGTCAGTATCACATTCTGTTGCCCTGGCTGGAGTGCAGTGGCACAATCACGGCTCACTGCAGCCTCGACCTCCCAGGCTCAGGCAGTCCTTCTGCCACCACGCCCAGCTAATTTTGTTTTTTTGTAGAGATGAGGTCTCACTATGTTGCCCAGGCTGGTCTAGAACTCCTGGGCTCAAGCAATCCTCCCGCCTCAGCTTCCCAAAGTGCTGTTACTAGCCACCACGCCGGGGAATGCACAAAGTCTTTCTTAAAGTTCAGCAAGAGAAATGATATATACCAGCCCCTGGGTAGAATGACGTCTTCTGCTCCCAACACCCTTCCCACCTAACCTAGCCTTGTGAACCATCTGGGCCATCACAGCACGTGGAACCAGTGTCTGTAAGGCGCTGACCCTGCTCTGAAGTCATCTTACAGAGAGAGTAAGACTTATTTTCTCCCAAGTTGCTTGCCCAGTCTCCCAAAGACTCAGGAATATGGACAAGAACAAGCTCCCCTCTGTCAATATAAACAATAGAAAATAGTTCCTGCCTGGATCTCAGCCCTAATGTCATTATTTCCCAGTCTATGTCCTCGGGCAAGTTATCTAACCTCTGTGCCTCCCTCTTCTCAACTGTAAAATGGGAATAATAACTGTAACTCCCTCAGAAGCTTACTCAGATAGCCCATGTAATCATTTGGCATAGACCCTGGGTAAATGCTACCCACCGTTACAAGCAAATGAACGTGTTCGCGTTGGCTAGCATCTGACATGCCGCCATCTGTGTAACGCCAAAGACAAGGAGAATCTTCCTCTTTGTACGGGGAAGGGCAAAGGGACAGCCACACATTATATCAGACAATGTACCATTTTATTCCTTATAAAATATATTTCATATTGTTGCTGTAAAAACATTACATTTCACATTTCTTTAAAAAAATTTTTAACAGTAAAAATAATACTTGGAAGACAGCTGGGGGAAAAGGCGCCATAAGACAAATTCACAGATGGGATTGATCTCCCTCTTCTTTTTTTTTTTTTTGCCCCTGGTAAAGTCAGAACCTGGGATGACCAGAAAGTAACAGGACACATGTCTCTCAACAAATCAGTTTCCACATCCAAATTAACATTGTTTTCCAAGGAGTCAAGCCATGGGCCGGCGGCGACAATGTGGCCGCTGCTCAAAACACGCTCTCTGAAATCACAACATTGCTTTCTGAGCCGGTTTAAAAGTCATCCTTAAGCACAAGCTCTTGTGCTTTGACGGTTCTTTTGCTTTGGACCTGAGACCTCACTTGACCACGGACACTCGCTGGACTCTCTCTGCGCTCACGGAGTGTGGGTGCAGACACAGCATCCTGTTCAAAACTCAGCGCCACCGACTCTAAAGGCGACTCCAAGAAATACTCAACGTAAAGGGCACCTCACTGGGACACGCAGGCAGCTTCCCAGAGTAACTGCTTTCCAGATCAGTCCTGTTGGGCTCGAAAGCACTCGCGTGGCATCGTCCTCCGGTCAGATGCCGCCGCCCCTCTGGGCTGGGAAGGAGGGAGGCTGAGATGAGGAAGGAGGGCACGATCGCCGGGGACCGCTCACAAGCCCCTCCACCCTCTGCCAAGAAACAGCTGGAGCAACCCCAGCGACAGAGCACGGGGGAGGAGCCGGCACGACGGGACAGAGATGCAGGCAGAGGAGGCCAAGGCCGCCAAGGAGAGAGGGAGCATCCGCCGGCAGGAAGGCTGCGCCCCGGCCAGACGAAGCACAGGAACAAGACGAAACCACCTCGGCTGCTCACCTGTTCCAATCTACCTCTCTTCCTTTCCTGCCCCATGGACCAGGGGCATGAGATGCCCACCTCACAAAGAAGAACGCCCGTCTACCCAGTGCTGTCCTTATGATCCAAAATGAGGGGCGCGGGGGCAGCTTTTCCGAAGGTGAGGCTCTGCGTGAGGGGAGAAGCGGCCCTCCTGGGCAGCGTGCCCCCGGGTCGAGAACGTGCCCTCCCCTCACCGACAGCATCTGAAGATGGACATCATGGGAAGTGAGGACAGCCGCGAAAGCCATCACTACTGCCGGTTCTTAATTCCCAGGCGAGCCGAAGGGACAGGAAGGAGAGCCCTGGGTCACCACGGGCTGCTTTCGAGCTTTCCCGAGAGACAGAATTTCACATACTTTTTTACCAAGTTATGAAAATAGACCCCATCACCACCGAAGACACCTATGCGTAAGAGCATCTGTGTCTGTTGTCACCAACCCAGGGCACTACACCCTGGGTTGGTGACACAACACCATGCCCCTGCTGTAAGAGGTGTGCAGGTTCTGTAGCTCTGTGTGTCTTAGACCAAAAGGTGCATGTCTGTGTCCCGTGTGAAATGGCCAAGGCACCTCAGTGGCCAGGTGTTTTCACCCGGGACTGGGAGGATGGCTTCGATGACCCCCAAGGGGTGGACGCTGCTGCTCAGCCCCAGGAAAAGTGGCTTGGTGGGATTCCATGAGCCCCCGACTCTGGGGTGCAGGACCAGGGCTTGTACCCAAGGCAGTGGGGCCCTGGGTGGTACCCGAGGAATCCTCAAACAAATCAGGCCCGGAAGAAAGGGGAGACTCCAGGACAAAAGCATGTCAGCTCCCAGGGCACGGCTCTCCCGGTCTCCCTCAGCGTGCGTTGGCACGACGCTAACCCCCCAGTGTCCTCCTCAACAAAACACCTTCCGCCCATTGACCTCAACGCAGCCCAGTCTCCTGTGGCCTCCAGAAACACCAAGGGCCAAAAACGCCAGCAGCCACTAACCCAACCCCTATGTTCCTCAGCTTGAATCGTTCCCACAAGTACGCCCGCTGACCCTCCCCATCCTGCCTCAGTGGGAAAAAGGCAAAAAAGGAACTTAGCGGGAACCTACTGAGGCCTCTCCAGCCACTCAAATAAAAGAAATCTAGTCATTAAAGGCTTCCAAATACATCATGAGAGAAAATAAAGCATCTCCAAAGTGTCTTTTCCATACATGGAGGGCGGGGGCGTTCATTCAGGTAAGAGCAGAGTGTTTCCACAGACACCAAAACCCTCTGGGACTTCCTCGGGGAAAGAGGAGAGAACGGTCAAGGTAGTGTTTAACTGCCACATTCCAAAAAAGTGAATTCTTACTAGCCTTTGGGCTCAGTTATTTGGGGACAGTCTTTAAAAAACCTCTTAGTCTGGGCTTTGAGAAGAAGCCGTATAATATCTGCTGGGGTGCCGTCTAATGTTTCAGGGAGCCCAGATTCAAGAAAGGGTTTTCCTTTGACTGCCGTGGGAGCTGCTCAGACGGGGAACTGGAGGCACACCCCGAAACATGCAGGACTCCCCTTCACTCCACGCAGGCAGTCCTGCACTCTGAGTCATCCACCAGTCAGAAGCTCTTTTTTTTTTTTAAGAAAAGTAAATGTATCTTGCTCACAGTCCTTTCTGGAAGAGTTGAGAAAGCAAAGAATTCACCGACTCAGCAGGAAACAGAACGAGCTGTTCCTTCTTTTGATACGCATTAAACTAACCCCTAGAGAGAGGAGACGTGGGAAGGGAGGGTAATTAATTCTTTGGTCTCTGGTTCACTGCTGAACACCCTTGGCCAGTTTGGGCTCTCTCCTATTTTAGGGGAAAAAAACTTTTCTTTCTCTTTAAAAAATAAAATGTTCCCACAAAAGGGAGAAAACGCTTTAACCTTAGCCAACAGAGCCCAGACTGTGGTTTCCCCTCTTTCTCTTTTCGGTTTCTGCTGAGGGCTGGTGACACGTCTGCCTGCTGTCGCCGGCAGGGCCCAGCCGGCTGGACAGGTTCAGTCCAGGAAGCGCTGGCAGGCCTTCTTCCACCGGCAGGCCGTGCACCACTGGTCCCGGTGCTCGATGCCGTACACCTTGCGGCACTTCTTGGCCTCCCCTCGGGCTTTCCTGCCAACAGAGTCGCGAGAGCACAGAGTCATGCGCGGGTGGCTGGACTGGGAGGGCGGCTGAGCGTGAGGCTGAACCAGCAGGCAGAGGCTGGAAGGAGTGGCTTCCGGCGACAGCCAGCGGGGCCAGGGACCAGAGGCTCCAAGGACGGAAGCCAAACCATCCGGTGTGTCCTCCATCTGAGATCCCCTCTGAGGACTAGTCCTGGTGACTTCAGCTGGGTGGACTCGAGAGTCCACGCCACCAGCGTCGACAGGGAGGGCGGGGGGACAAGAGCCGGAAGGAAGGGCACAACAGCGGGCGTCTTACCTGGCGCTGCTCTGGGCCCGGGGTGGAGAAGTGACAATCAGGTGAGATTTCATTGCAGGTGGTGGCTGCTGGGGCTCGCTGAAGCTTAGTGACCGGCTCCGGACCTGGACATGGGGAGAGGGGCCGTGAGCACAGACCAAGAGCCCGGGGCAGTCAGGAGAATGAGAGAGCCGCCCGCACACAGGACAGTCATCCACAGGTCCCCAGCCCTCCCTGGGCCGCCTGAACAGAGAGCACATTCCGGCAGAGGGAGCTCTCGGAGCGGGAGGTGGGGAGCAGGCCTCCAGGCCACGTGCCAAGTGGAGCCAGGGCCAAGGGCAGGGGGGCCCTTGGCCTGGCCCTCATCAGGGCTACTCCCTGCTCGGGACTCAGGTGCAGTTACCGGGCCTGGAACAAAGGGGAACAGCCCGCCTCAAGGGCGCTGTCTGGCCCTTCGGTTTCACAGTGTGTGACACCTCCCCTAGGAAGTAATTAAAGACTAGGGCTTGCTCAAAATGACTCCAGTTGATTTATTTTTATTTTTATTTTTTTGAATTGGAGTCTCACTCTGTTACCCAGGGCCGGAGTGCAGCAGCATGAACACGGTTCACTGCAGCCTTGACCTCTTGGGCTCAGGCAGTCCTTCCATCTCAGCTTCCCAAGGTGGGACTACAAATGTATGCCACCATGCCTGGATGGTTTTTTAAATTTTTTTGTAGAGACAGGGTCTTACTACATTGCCCAGGCTGGTCTCTACTCCTGGGCTCGGGCAAGCCTCCCGCTTCGGCCTCCCAATGTACTGGGATTAAAGGTGCGAGTCACCATGCCCAGCCCAATTGATTTTAGTTTGAGGCCAAGCGATCTATGACCCTAAAAATCCCAGTGGCCTTGGGAACTCTGACCCAGCCCACGCAGCCCTGTATATTCTCTCCCTTCCTCTCCTCTAGGCATCAGAACCCTAACAAGCACCCAAGGACCCTCAGGACCACATGGGGCACAGATCCCAGCCTTGCCCAGTGACTTTCTTAGCAAGACGCCAGCTTAACCTCTGCAAGTACCTCCTCCCACCTCTGGAGAGGGTCCGAGAGACCAAGTAGCTGGAGGGCTGGAGACAAGACCGGCAACACCAACTTGGGCCATATACCGCATGCCCGAGAGACAGTCTCCAGCCCAGGGATATGTGGGAGAGCCCTCGGCTCGGACCAGGCCCCTGGGGATGCGGCCAGGCACCGAGACGGGCACACTCACCGGAGAGAGGGAGCAGGCGGTGGAGGGGGCAGCAGCCCAGCTGACACTGGTATAGATGTGTGGCGAGACAGGGACCTGGAAGGACGGCAGGGCCTGTGGAGACGAGAGAGCGTCAGCCCGGACTCTGGCTCGGGAAGCGTCTGGCGTCTGCCTGTGACCCCTCTAGACCGCACTGGCAATGGGAGGCACATCTCTGCGTAAGTGACATGACCGGAAACCACTGGGGCACACCAGACTGGTCCTCCTGAAGGCAACAGCAGAGTGTCCAACCGTTCGACGTGGTCGCCGCACTGCAAGCCTCCAATCTCGTTCTGGAGCCCTCCTCTCAGAGCTGGTCTGCACGCCCGCCCCGTGACTTAATCATGCCAGAGGATTCGCTTCCCAGCCAGATCGGCTACCAAGGACATGCTGCCACAGTAGCCAGGAGAGGACCAGAGGCCTCTGAGTCTGGGTGGTGTTGCTAGAATGAGATAGGGCATCCCCGGGGCACCACGTGGAAGGAGCCACCTGCTCGTGGAGATCTGGGTTTAGGTGTCTTTGTGAAAACACCAAGCCGGACTCCGTGGCTCAGCCTGTAATCCCGCGCCTTTGGGAGGCTGAGGTGAGTGGACTGCCTGA